AGAATTCAAGTAAGACCCTCAAACAAAGCACCTGACTCAACATTATTGATTATTTTTCATATAAATAGTAATCACCAGCTGAAAGCAGTCAATTTTAATTGAGCAACCCTGCAAGAGATAAACGTCTTCAATCAAGAGTGTGGTCAAGAATATCATAGTTTTAAAAAATGTAACCTCAAATGCATTCTATTTGTTAACTGAAATACTCCTTTAACCTAAGCAACTTAAAAGATCTGTGGGTTTTTTTGTTTTGTTTTGTTTTTTGCTATTCTTTTAAATTGCCCTGGAGTTCATCAATAGGCACAGCTGTTAAATTCAGGAGCAATGACAACAAATCCCTGAGCAAACAACTGCTAGCGTGAGACCCATTCTTTAGAATAATCAGAGATAGTTGACAAAAGGGGCCATACCAAATGCCCTTTCAAAATTCCAGTAAGAAGCTGGACTAAAGTAAAATAAATAAACATATAAACACATGTATTGAAAAGGAAATTATAATTCTACCAGTATTTCATGTGTCCTACTTGGCTAAGGACTCAAAATCCAACAACTCTGGAAAAACAGAGGGGATAGTGTTACAGCTTTCTGAAGATGAGAAGTGATACTCACTAATTAACTGCAGAGTGGGAAAAACTGGTTCCATTATTTAGCGATTATCAGGCATCTGATAAACTTTTTTAGTAGATAAGAAGTGTCATTTAAAAATAAGCCTGTAAAACTAGGTATGCTATTCTTACTACCTTGATTGGACTTAGGCAATTTTAAGTTAAATATGTACTTCTGAACAACACCCCTTCTCTTTTTAAAGGTGAGTTTTCTTGGACCCTTAAAAGCATCAACTAAGATTTGTCAGGCTGGCATATTGGTCTCTCTATCTCAGTTGTTTGTCTTATTTTTCCAAAGTCAGACAACTTTTGTATGTTGTTGTTAAGTGCCACTGAGTCAGTTCTGACTCATAGTGACCCTATATAGGGTTTCTGAGGAGCGGTTGACAGGTTTGAACCGCCAACCTTGTGATTCAAACCAACCTTGCTGTCCAGGTCCAGTACTCATCTTTTGTATAGTGTTGGCATTCTTATATTGGGGCAAGTAACTAACTGCACAATTAAAGGCAGTTTGATCTGAAGTGAACATCCACACAGGCAAGAGACTGTCCTTTGCTGTATCTATAAATCCCAATAGGTCAGTGACAATGCAGCAAAATTTTACCTACCATGGGTCCAGGATCAATAGTGAAAATCAAAATCTAGACAATCAGTCTCCTAGTTTTTATTTTTATCTTTTCGATATATCATCTCTACTTAAAAAAACAAACAAACAAACAAAAAAAAAACCTTATATATTTTCAACATATTTTAGCTTTACATTTCAAGATCCACTTTGGACTATAGGTATCCATTACTATTCAAGACAGATACCACCCACAGTACAATTTTTCATTCATCTCACACACACACACAAAAAAAAAAACCCTCACATTTCATCTCAATTTATACTGAAGTGATAAACAATTATGGAAAGCAATCTATGTCCTTTTAAAATAAATGTCTGTTGCTACTTAAAAGTTACAGACATCCCTAAACAACATGAGTTATACCAAAATTGACCTCAACTTTCCAAAAAAGATCATCAAGTTATAAGAATTCCTATGCTCTCCCAACTACAAATCCTCGCTTACAAAATTATTTTCACCCAACCAAACAGTTCTGAAAAGCCTAAGAAATATAAGTCAGCTTTCCCTCTACCCTAAGACTCCAATTTCCACCTTTTATGGAAAGGAAATAAACAAATAGCTTCCTGTTCACTGCTAGCTTACATCAGTCTTTTACACATCACAGAACACAGTCCGCCTCCTCCTTTACTGCTCTCAAATGTCTCTTATCTCAATTTAAACTTGTTGAAATATGAGACTGTTTTACCACAGTTTTACCTATAAAATTAATCTTATTTCAGCATTGAATACGCAAGAAATGTCAAATTGGTTATAGATTATATATTATCTTACTCCTAGAACCTTTAAATATTTATATGACGACTTCGCACCAGAGAAAACATGATTTGCCAAAAAATTTTACATATTGAAATTGCTCGGCCATGGTTTCGTCTTTCTATTCTTACTATTATCGGGAACTAAGACATGAGTTTCACACATCATTCCGCTCACTGGTCTACTTACAGGAACATAGCAAGCCACTATCAAGGAAAAGGATTTACCTCATACTACAAGCTAAATATTACTTTAACCCTATACTTTCCTTTAAAAATGGGATGCCTTAGAAAAACTAAGTTCTGCGAATTCTTTTTGCTTGGATGAACAACAGGAAAGCAAAGCCTTCAGGCCTTTGGGGAGGAACCTTGTCCCTGCAGCCCTGCTCTGATGTGCTTGGGAGATAAGGCTCCATAGTGACACTTAAGGAAAGGCCTGTTCACATCTGAATTTCTGCATTCCTCAAGAACAATTCATGGCAATAACTAACTTTGCAGAAGAGCTACATGAAAGCTTTGGTCAATGAATGAGGGTCATCTGCTCTTTATCACAAGGGTAAACCTCATCCTGGCCAGTTTCTAACCTTTTAACCCTGTGAATTCCTAATTTACACATGAATAATGGAATTCTTGCCTAGAGTGCAACTTTCAGCTTCTAGTTCCTAAGTTTAGAAACCAAGACTTGATTGCCTGAGCGCTAAAAATCTAAAACTTGTACAGATTAAAGTTTTAGGTTTCTAGGTACTGTACCATTCATTACATTGCGGAACCAAAAGATCTGCTGCTGACAAAGACTTTCATCAAGAAAATAAAAAGAACATACTTGCGCCTTGCTGCTATCAATAACTAGGAGAGAACTAGCTTAAAAAAAAAAAAAAAAGTATGTCCACTTAATGCCTATTCTCTTCCTGTTTAATATGCATAACATCTCTACCCTGAACACAGGATAAAGTCATTTAAGCCTGTATCACCTGACATTGGGACTGAGATATCAGAATTAGTTTGGTGAATTCAGAATCTTTAATAAACTCATGCTTCTAAAGAAAAATCTGAACCTACTATGAATTTCTTATTTTAAATCCCTAATAATGAATGCAATTTCCTAGTAAAATACCTCCTCAGAGCTAAATGAAATGTATGCATCTGAAGACTATGGACCCTAATGAACTGATGAGAGTTGTTCTATATAAGCAAAGGAAAGTTTTGAATATTCATGGAACTATTTTAGGTCAATAGCTTTCAAGATGATTAACAGCAAACTTAAGGCTTATTGTTAATAATTATCTTATAAAGGTAGAAAAATCTAAAGCTACTAAAACAAAACTACTAACATCTGTATCTTAAAGTCAGAAAGTTCTGGGTGTTTTCAAGTGTTTGTGGGAGCTCTAGAATTCTGTCAGGCTTCTCAGAAGGTTCAGGAAGTGTGGTAATGACAAATGTTTCATCTTCTTTAAGACTTATCTGCTTCTCCCCTTCCCACCCTCTCCCCTACTAAGGTAGACATGGTGTAGTTCCTGGATATGAAAATGCAAAATGCCACAAAACCCAAACAGTGGATCAAGTAAAAGCCTATCAAACAATTTTATATAGGCACAAAATCATAAGCATAAAAACATGCTATCCTGAAAAGAATATTATACATAAAAGCCAAGAACATTATGAATCAATGATTAGAGCAAGAAAAGAAATGCCAATTTAAAATTCTCTTAGGTTTATGCTATTCTTATGGGGGAAAGTCTAGAATTAGAAACTTTTCTAAATTCTGATACATTTTAATATTAAAAGTCCTTATACTTTATTTTCTATAATTAATAATTATTAAACAAATGAAATAACTAATATGAGAGTGGATAAAAATATGCCCATGGAACTTTGTGATCTTCACCTACGAAACGCCTGCCAATAATTCCCTAAATGTCAACTGTGTAGACCTTGAAGAAGTTCTTAAAGAGTGTATCTGTAGCTCAAGAACTCCCTCTTCCTACTGTTTATCTTGTAAATGATCAATATGAAGGTTAACGCAAAATCTATCTGTAAAATTATTGTTTTTTAAAGGTGCAGTAATATTGTTGCTGTTGTTTTAAGATTTAAACAGTGTATTGTAATCTTGGAATCCTGGTATGGTGCTGTGGGTTAATGAGCTGGAATGAAAAGTCAGTTTGAACCACATAGTCGGAGGTTCAAGCTGACCAGTCGCTATGGGTCTTATCAACTCAATAGCACTTAACAAGAACAACAACACTGTAATCTTGGGTGCCCTGTGTTTGATCACCGGAAGAAATGGAAAGCCTCAATGGGAAAGAGTTCCCTACTTGTCTTAGGACATTACCTGCAACAGGTTGCCACCAAATCAACCACCAAGCAATGGATCACTTGGACAAATAGTTGATCTGATGGGCTGTTAATACAAAGAAAATCATCAGACAGCAAACTCTATGACAACTGGAAAAAGTGAGGCGATCTGGTTTAAATCCATTAGGCATAATATGGAAATGGCCTTAATCTCTTTCCCTCCCAGCAGGAAAAGACAAGAAATACTTCAAAGAGTTACTGACCAATGCCCTCTTTTACAATTAAAAAGCATCTTGGGTGATCTGAAAGGAGTCTGAGATTGAGCCACAAGGCAGATTTAACACTCAAAGGTCATCTACAAAGCAGACGGTTTGATGGTGATTTAATTACTAATTTCCAAAAGATGAGATTTAAAGCAACTTTTGTTGTGGTAGACAAACTTCTACACCCAATCTTCTTATAGTGTGCAACTCTTGAGACTCATATAACGCCACATCTACAGGTTTATTTTACTTGGCACTTTAGATCTAATTTGACTTCAGTTCTCCACCACGCATTTACATTTTTATATACAATTTTTTTCTTGGATTTATCAGCATGCCTAAATTAGCATCAACGATTATCACCATTAAAATTCTGAACATGTGATTTTTAGTGTTACTTCAATAAACCAAAAAATCATCAAAATTCAACAATTACAAATATCAACAGTCAGGACTTACTTGATATGGTAAGATGAGCTTTTTGACTAAGAATGGCCCCATATTTGTTCACTGCCAAACACTGATAAAATCCTTCATCAGACTGCTCCCCTCGCTTGCCTTCCACCTCAGTGATGTGTAAAGAGCCATTCGACAGAACCTGGATCCGTTTATTTTCAGACACTTTTGCTCCATTTTTCAACCATGTGACCTTAATAGGAACTTCTCCATGAGCCTGGCAATCTAAAACGACTGGATCCTTTCTTGTGACAGTTACATCCTGTGGTTCTTTTATGAAAAACAGTTCGCTAAAGCACCACACTCCTGTAAGGAAAGAGAGGAGAGGTATATCCAGAATTATAGGTAAAAAGTCATTCAACACAGCACATAACTGTAAAACACACACTTAGTGTATAAGAAGACAAAGTTTAACAGTCATATTAATTTACTTTGCAACCTCCTAATAAACCAATCTAAGTTTCAGTAAACCTTTTCAACTAATCTGAGAAGTCACCTTTTACAATTTCTATGCTAAACACATAGGGAAGATGTTTACAACTACCTTTCCTTGTAAGGCCTCTGCTCTCAAGTTCCTTGTTGACTTCTAAAATCATCAGGAAAACTCATGAGCACAACTTGTCTGCTACTTTTACAAGCTTGTCAAAAAGATCTTGAACAGAGTAAGTCGTAAAAGTCTAATTTTACAAGAAATCATTAGCAAAACTCCAAGTCCGTGAACAAGCAAGTTTATTTCCTTGTCCCTTGAAGTGCTTTTGGAACCCTTGGTACCTACTTTTTGGAAAATATGTTTAATTTCTATTACAAGTTTGTATTTTTATATATCTGCCCTTTTACAGCAAGAGCTCTGTCTCTTTCACAGAAATCCATTTACTTAATTTCTACAGAGCAAGCTAAGTATTAAAGGACAAACAATAGACTTTGAAAAGTTGGTAACTCTTGCTGCTTGTACCCAGTGGGTGATCGGATTAGGGCACTTTTATTTAAAATTTTTTTAGAACTACCAACTGTTGAAGAAAAAAAAAATGTGTGACTAATTGGTCCTTACTGTCTAATAGGGATAGGAGATTGCTTAATCAACCAATACACATTTTTATCAGAGCAGAGGAAAAGCTTTATTATCCTAAGCATACACATTGCTCCTGGGGCCCTGCCAGGATAAAGCATCCGATGACCAACTAATACCCTGTCACCTCCTGCATTTAGAGTAAAGAAAGACCAGCTAAAGTTTTACATACTGATTGGGGCCAAGAGGAGATTTAGAGGTTGGGGGGAAAGTTTCCTCTTCCTCCTGACCGTTGAATCCATGATTACAAATCCCCGGAATTGATTCCTGTTTCTCATCAACATAGGTCCTCGGAAACCTCACACACTAGTCACGCTCCCACGCCCAGGCCCCTCGACTTCCCCTGATGTTTGCCCTGGGCAATGAGAACGGCCCTAACAGGACCGCGCTGCGCGAAGCACTCCGGAAGGCGCCCATTGTGTTTCCGAGCCACATCTGACTTTGATCCTTTTCTCATGCTAACAGAAAACTAACTCCTCCAGAAAAAGGAGAGTGAGTCAGGCGTTTGTAACCTGTAAATCAATAAAATAACCCGTTCTCCTAAACACCTCTCAGTCCTCCCCTCCTCCCCTTTACACTTACATCTCTTTGAGGAAACCAACAGGGGAACGTAAAAAAGAAAATACAGTTCATCCAAGTCTGTCAGAGAGTAGCCTAGAGCTTGGAGCAACCTGCAGATCCATACACACCTCAGGCCCTGCCCCAAAAGATCTGGCTGCGGGGAACACGTCCTATTAGACATCTTCCTTCCCAGCTTCGGGTACCGATATTGCTCCCTCTCTTCAGGGGCCCAAAGCAGTCATTTCAGACCCTCTTGTCTTTACAATTCCACCCTTCCCAACCTCCTCGCTGGATCTGGAAAACTAGGGGCCCTTGGGGTTCTGACCTGCGCGCTGGGTTCACCCATTCCCACTCCCGTCCTAAAACGTAGACCCTCCAGCCCCCACTACGCTGAGGAAGCGGCGGAGAAGCGCGGCGCCCCCTGCGCAGCGAGGCTGCCACTAAAGAAACAATATAAATAAAGCCACGTGCGGCCGCGGAGGCCCCGGCGGGCGGCCAGGAGCCCGGGCTGGTCGCGGAGGCGGGGATCGGCCGTAGCAGGGACAATGGCGCGAGGAGGAAGGGGCCAGAGTGGACAGCGGCCAACGCCGCACCGCAGCCTGCGGCGGGGAGGCGCGTGCGCGGGACAAGGCTCCCGCAGCCCTGAACGGACCGGCCTTCCGGAGAGCCCGCAGGTAACTTATGCCCCAGCCAGCGGCTCCGGACAGGCCGCAGCGGCCGGTGGTCAGCGCCTCCGCGGAGGACCCCCCACCCACCCACAGCCTCTGAAGATACGCGGAGGAAAACGCGCCCACCTGGAACGGAGCCGAGGAGCAGAAAGAGCTGGAGAGCGCGGAGCAGCATCCCAGGCGGCCGCAGCCGAACGAGGGATCGCAGAGAAGACGCCATTCAGCGGGGCTGCGCGGGCATGCTCCCCGGGCGCCCCACAGCCGCTGTCCGCCTGCCGGCCCCCGCCTCCGGCCTCCGAGCGCTCCTGGGGTTGCGGCTGGACGCGCGGAGCCTGGAATTCCCGCTTGGGCACCGGCGTGGCGTGGCGGTGGTGGCGAGTCCAGCGCACGGATGCCCGCTCGCAGGAGGCAGGGGGGCCTGAGAGTCCGGCCTGGGGGCGGAGTGAGGCGGCGGCTGGAGGGGGCGGGGGCGGCGGAGTGGACAGCGCTGCCGCGGCCGGCTTGGGGACTACTTTCTACATCTGGCCCCTGGTCTGGGGACTGGGAGGTCGGAGCGGCCCGGCGGAGGGAGACGCTGGGTATGGGGCCCCGTGTCGGTGGGGTCGTGGCCCCTGGGGAAGGGGGCGGGACCCGCCGGACAATGCACCTGGGGGTCAGGCCCCGGCTGAGGGTCTCCGGCTGGCGTCCCCGCCCCCTTTCCTCCACGCCACCGTCGAGGGCAGAGCCACAAAGGCCAAGCCTCTCGGCCCAGGCTGTCCCCGGGGCCCTTCTCCCGCCGGCTTGTTTAGGATTCGGGCAAGAGGCGGCAGGGTGGGGGAGGGATGGTGTTGAGAGACCTGGAAAGGCCGGAGACTTCTCCCCTGCTCGCCCCTGCCCATCCCCCTCCTTGCCTCACTGGCGGAGGCCCTGTGGAGGGAAATCTATTTCCCACTTCAGGGATTTGTCAGCCGGACTGCAGGCATCTCTAGATGATAAACCCTCACATTTGGGGATGGTTTTTATTTTCCCTTCCCCCATCAGATGCAGCACTGGCTAAAAAGCACCTCCAAAGAGTGCCCTAAAATGAACAAATTACCTTTCGGGGAGACGTTTATTATCTCTCTCTTAAGTTAGGCAAATTCTTTAATTTGTGGGGAACTGTGTATACAAAAGGTCCTGTCCTCACAGTAGAGGCAAGATCAAGAGATTTATAGATTCTCCGAGTTTGCTCTGGGGGACCAGGTTTTGGTAGACTACTTGGGAAGAAGTTAAACTGACTGGGAAAGGCACAAATGTGGTGAATATGTTCACGTCTCCTAAAATTAAGGATCGTGAGGAATGAAGCGAAGCGTACTTTTAAAAAATGTAATCAAGATGGTTAAATGTGGGCGGCTAATAGAGAATATTTACACGTGGATTAGCAAATGCTAATCCCAAACAATCCATGGCACATGATGAGAGTACAGGCTAAAAGTTGTTCTTAATGAAAGCTGCTGATAGAAATCTAGCTCTTGGCCCTAAGGCTTCCAAGCACTACCTTCCTTCAGCATGTTCCAGAAATCCCCTTTATGAAGAAGGTGTGTGTTTGGGGAGGGGTGGGGGCAATCAGCAGTTTAAGAATAACTGCTAGGAAGGCAGTACTACCGACCCACGAAGCTTATTATTAAGATCAACCTATTTTGCTATTTCAACTTTACCTGCATTTAAAATAGGTTACATTGCCTCAAAAATCTCACGTATGGCTTAGACGAATTTGAACTATTTCTAAACATCAAATGAAGCTTCATGAAAAGGGAAGTGTTTGTTGTTGTTAGGTGCCGTGGAGTCGGTTCTGACTCATAGCGACCCTGTACAGGGTTTCCGAGGCTGTAAATCTTTACGGGAGCAGAAAGCCTCATCTTTCTCCCGCAGAACAGCTGGTAGTTTCGAACTGCTGACCTTGCAGCCCGATTATTAGAGGTAATAAAATGAAACATTTGCAAGGATGTTTAAAATATCTGATAATTCATACAAAACTATATTCTTCTGTGTTTGCATTAAACTAGTTTGTTTTTTTTTTTTCGATTGTAAGACGTTCTTTTTCTTATTGGCTACCTCCTCTACCTGTTCCCTTTCAATAGACCATAAGTGCTTATATTTTCTGGATAAGAATTGCTTATTAAGATGCTTTTATGTTCTCTTTCTTAAATAAAGGAGCTCTGGTGATGCAGTGGTTAAGTAATTGGCTCCTGACCAAAAAGGTTGGTTGTTCAAACCCACCAGGTGCTCCATGGGAGACAGATGTGGCAACCTTCTTCCTAAAGATTTACAGCCTTGGAACACCCCCTGGGAAGTTCTACTCTGGCCTGTAGGGTCCCTGTGAGTCAAATCAAGGGTTTGGGTGTGGGCTGTCTCAGAAATCAGAAGAATAAAGGCTAGGAGAAGGGAGAGAAGCTAAAAAACAATGGGAGAAATTTTTTTTAAACATTTCATACAAAATGAGACTAATTTAACAAAACTGTCAAGCTTTTCTTCCTCACCACTGGACCAATAAACAACATTCTTATCAACGGAGAAAAGATTAACATTGACAAGGACTTCATTCTTCTTGCATCAATATCAACACTCAGGGAAGCAACAGTCAAGAAATCAAACGATGTATTGCATTAGGCAAATCTGCTTCACAAAACCTCTTTAAAGTATTCAAGAGCACAAAACCTCTTTAAAGTGTTCAAGCGCTTTACCCAAGCCGTGGTATTTTCAAAAACCTCGTATGCATGCAAAAGCTGGACAGTGAATAAGGAAGACCATAGAAGAATTGATGCATTTGAGTTATGATGTTGGAGGAGAATATTGAAAGTGCCATGGACTGCCAAAGGAACCAACAGATCTGTGTTGAAAGAAGTGCAGTCAAGAGTGCTCCTTGGAGGCCAAAATGGCCAAACATCATCTCTCAGACTTTGGACATATTGTCAGGAGGGACCAGTCGCTGGAGAAGGATATCATGTTTGGTAAAGTGGAGGGTCAGAGAGAAAGAGGAAGACCCCCAGCGAGATGGATTGGCAAAGTGGCAGCTTCAGTGGGCTCAAGCATGGCAACAATAGTGAGGTTGGTCCAGGATCGGGCAGTGTTTAGTTCTGCTGTGCTTATGAGTCAGTACCGACTTGATGGCACTTAACAACAACAACAAGCTTTTCTAAGGAGCTCTGGTGGTGTAGTAGTTATGAGTCGGGCTGCTAACATCAAGGTCAGCAGTTTGAAATTACCAGCTGCTCTGTAGGAGAAAGATGAGGCTTTCTGCTTCTGTAAAGATTTACAACCTCGAAAACCCTATGCAGGGTCGCTGTGAGTTGGAACTGACTCCATGGCACACCACCACCACCATAAAGCATTTCTGATAAATATGAGGGTGAGTTCATCTATAAACCCACCAGCTGCTTCTTGGAAACCCTATACAGGGGCTGCTATGTGTTGAAACAGACTCTTACTTAACCAAGTTAAAAAAAAAATGCTATTAGGGTTTCAGTTCACACATATACACATTTATCTCAAATAAAACAAATGTTACTCATCTCTGCCTTGAATGGATGGCTGCAGATAAATTTAGTAATATACCTGTCTTAGTGGTTACGAATCACGCTGCTAACCTCAAGGTCAGCAGTTTGAAACTACCAGCTGTTCTGTGGGAGAAAGATGCAGCTTTCTGCTCTCATAAAGATTTACAGCCTCGGAAGCCCTTTACAGGATTGCTATGAGTCGGACTCCACAGCACATTCACCACCACCAGTTTCATTAAGGTGCTTTCAAAACAAAGATACTTTTTTGTGCCATGAGGAGGAAAAACTAATAGGTCATGGCGGATACCAAACTTTTAACTAAACTCAAATGGACATCTCAGATTATTGAAGCTTTGCAACAAAGTTATGAGAATGCTGTTGCACACAAAATGACAGTTTTTGGATGAATCGAGGGTTTTAAGGAATATCAGGAAGGCCGCAAAGCTGAGCCAAAGGAAGGAAGACCATCAGTCTCAATGAATGAAGAAAGAAATTGTGAATGAAGTTCAGAAACTGGTAGTAAACTGTACAATTACCATTCTACTTTTTCTACTCAATTTCATAGCTACTGAAGTTGGCATTGCACATTGGTTTGGCATTTTCCACTTTAAGTGAACATCTTGGTCTCAGGAAACTTTAACCTGGATGGGGGCCAAACTCATTGTGTAAAGGCTAGGTCAAAGAAATGATCTTTCCATCAGTCTTTTAAGCAAGATGGAAGCTAATAAAGATAATTTTATGGAATGAATTATGATTGGGGATGAGTCTTGGATTCGCCAACATAATCTAAAGAGCAAGGGCTGATCAGAACAGTGGCTTCCAAGGAGATCTGCTGAGCCAGTTACTTCCAAGGCAGAGAGACTAGAAAGTATGGTGACTGTTTTTATGGATTCCAAAGGGGTAATCTTAATAGGGTTGTTTTGTTGTTGTTGTTGTTGTTGTTTTCCTTCCCCTAAGAATGCAAAGTGGTCATGGGGGTTTATTAGAAAGAAACTTTAAGAAAATTGAAAACAGCATTGGTGAGGAAAAAGACCAGGAAAGCTGTGCCGTGGATTTTTTTTCCATCACAGCAATGCACCTGCTCATTCTTTGAGGGTGGCAAAGGCTGTCCCTATGAGAATTTTGTTGGAAAACTTGCCCCATCCATCCTATAGCCCAAATCTTGCCCCTTAAGACTTTTTTTCTTCCCTAAACTGAAAGAACATTTCAAAGGAATACAATTAAAGTGCCTTAGGATGCCCAAACTGCTGTTTTGATATGCTATAAAAAGAGTACAGAATTCTTGGGGGAAAGAGGTAGAGAGATGGAAACACCACCTTTAGAAGTGTACATGTAGATGGAGGATATGTTGACAAACAGTACCTTCACATTTTGATATTTTTGTTTAATAAAGGTGTAATTCATTGCAATGGCCACACAGAACTCAGACACCATACTAACAGGTATGGGGTTTATTAGGGAAGAATATTAGATTACAATTCAGTGTCAGAAATGTTCAGGGCACACTTCTTCCAGTCTGGACAGTCGCTCCTCAGCTGTGCTCACAGCCTGCATCTCTGCCTGGCCAATCCTACAAAGCTCTCTTAAGGACTATTGAGAAATGCCCACAAGACACATCATTCTGCCTGAAGGCATTCAGCTCTAGCTCTGCGGGTCAGCAAACCTAGTTCACCCAGTTTAAGTGCCTCGAGGCACCCCACTCTACAAGTAAATCTCCTGCCCAAAGGCACTCAGTTTTACTTGCTCGATGCATG